TGTGCGTTCTCCTCTGCGCAGATAAGAAACCAGAATGTTTTGTCACCATTCCCCATCCTCCTCAGCCATTCTGAGGCAGCTCTGCCATATTCTACTGTATACCAAAGAACAACTGGGTAGAAGCTACATCGTGCACAAAGTGACTTCCTAGTAAACATTTATAAGGATCATAGGACAAGTTATAATCACTGATAGAATCATAAATGTATGAAACTAAACTTCAGAAAAATGAAACTTAACAGCCTTACATAAAGTCGCACCATATACCTATTATGTCTTTATTGCAATAAAGACATAATAGGTATACAAAAGCTACAACATAGAGGGTTTTTTTTAAAATAAAAAAACAATAACTGATTCACATCGTTTGTCATAGGAGCAGGAGCATTTGATAAGTTTCTGAAAGATCTTGATGGAAGAGATCACTCACTCCTGTCTCTGGAGCCAAACTGTTCCAAGGAGGGGAACTCTAATCAGGAATACCTTCTTCTTCCAAATATCTTAGAAGAAGAGCATCCTCAACAGACACACTCTGCTTGCATATACCGAATGAGCATATTCTATCTAGGACAGGTGCTTTCAAAACCATACAAAGCTATGAAAGCGATAATCAGTATCTTAAACTGCACTCAGAAAGATAGTGATAGTCACTGCAGCTCCCATATTAGTGTATATACATTGATTGGTCTGGCCCTTATCAGACATTAGACCAGGGTGGATTTGATTTAAATCAAGTTGATTTACATCACAATTTAAATCATAATTTAAATCACTAGTAAAAAGGCTTGATTTAAATCAATTCGATTTAAATCATAATTTTGAAAGAGCAATTGTCATCTCTGTCCCGCAGCGACTCCTCCTCTGACCCGCTGTTGACTCACCGACAGTCCCATTCACTTTAATGGGATGGCTGGGGATGTGGCAGTAACACAACAAGGTGAGGGACGTGGTGGGCAGCAGGTGAGGGGATCAGGCGCTGCCATGATGGATCTGAAATGACAGGTGCTCTTTAAATGTAAGGACTCATTCCTGCTGGTGGTTAGAATCTTTAATACTATTATTTGCAAACAAAATGAAGGTTTCCTATTTAGAATAATAAGCTGTCAGGTTAGTACAACAGCGATATCAGAACTGATTTTAGGTTAATAGGTTAATCGCATTGTGTTTCTCCAAAAATTAGACCTACCCTGATTTTGGGGCGTAATATAAACCCTACCCCCAAAATAAGCCCTAGTTAGGACCCTGCCCACTCCATTCCACCTCGCTGCCACAATGGGGCAGGAGAGCACATGTTGCACCACTACCACTACAACGAGGCAAGGCAGGTGGGGGAGGGGGTGGAGCTGCTATACACACCCCACGCCTGCTTACTTCAGCCCCTCTCCCATCCAGGCCATTTCTTGCTCGGTGACTTTCCCTTTCACTCCCCTCCCGAGCTGGACTACCATGCTACGGAGAATGGGCGGGATAGGCCTGGTCCCCCTCCGCCATTTCGGAGCCAGCTCCATTTCATGCTGAATAAACTGAATTATTAATGTATCTTAAATAGAAAACTATATTTAGATAGATTTTTTACTCCAAAAACATTTTATTAAAATAAATTTGATAAAAATAAAAAAAATCCAATTTAAATTTTTAAAATCCCATTTTTTAAAAAAAAATCATTATTATCCACCCTGCATTAGACAGACAGTTACAATGTACACCACTTGGAATTTCTGGGTGGTCTTCGAGAGCAGTCTCATGTAATGAGAATTCACTTAATTCTATATCCAGAATTTAAAAGGCCCATGATAAAAATAATTCTAACTGTTCTTCAGTAATAATGGAACAGAAACTGCAATACATTCTACAGAAATTACACAATCACCTCAAACACATACATTAATTTTTTGGAGCACCTTTCTCAAAAGATATCTGGAAGTATTTATTCTCCCATGAGCAACTATCCATAGTTTCTGTCTATCAAAGAGCATAATTCCCAGAATTCTTTTAAAAAGTCCTGACAGTTAAACTAGTAGAAAATTTATTTAACCCTTTGGTAAGATTTATAACCAAACCAATTTTTCAATCTGGAAGATTATATCAAAATACTTATGATTCCTATTGTTGTTTGGGCTCTTCCTTTGTGGCAGCCCCTCAAATATTGGAAGACTGCTTTAATGTCACCTAGTCCTTCTCTTTGTTAGCCTAGACACAGACAGTTCCTGCAACCATTCATCATGTTTTGCCCCCAAGCCCCTAATCATTGTTGTTGCTCTTCTCTGCACTCTTTCTAGAGCAGTGTTTCTCAACCTGGGCAATTTGAAGATGTGTGGACTTCAATTTCCAGAATTCCCCAGTGAGCAACTGCTGACTGGGGAATTCTGGGAGTTGAAGTCCACCCATCTTCAAGTTGCCCAGGTTGAGAAACATTGTTCTAGAGTCTCAACATCTTTTTTTGTATCACAGTGACCAAAACTGGATATAGTATTCCAAGTGTGGTCTTCCCAAAGCAGTATAAATCTGTATACTGAAGCATGCTGCTAGCTCATATTTAAGTGGTTGTCCACTAGGACTCCTAGCTTCCTCTCACAGTTACTGCTGTTGAGCCAGGTACCACCTATTCTACACCTGTGCATTTAGTTTTTCTGGCCTAAGTGTAAAACCTTATTTTTCTCACCGAGTTACATTTTGTTGTGTAAGGCTCAGTGTTCAATTCTGTCAAGATCCTTCTGGATTTTAAGCCCATCTTCTAAAGTTATATTGTATTACTGTATGTTTTTCACTATCATACATGTTAACACAAAACACAGAAAGAGTAAAAAGGAGAACTCCTTATAGACTATTTAGTCCAATCCCATGCTCACATTAATTAAGCCATCCCTAACTGCTGACCATCTAAGCCCCATTTAAAGATCATCAATGATCTAACAGAGATTAGAACACACTCCTTGCTCTAAATATTTTCTAAATTATGGTAAAAGATTCTTAGTAAGCTAAGATATATAAAGTGTTGCTTTCCTCATCAGAAATATAATTCAGCAAATATAGACATTTCTATGTTAGGTAGAAATAAATGGTGTCAACAGTAAAGATGTCTTTGAGCCAAGCTCCATACTTATTAACTATAGGATACTAAAATACAGTTTCATTGGCAACAGAAGCAGAAGCATCCCTTTCTTTGCAAAGTTTTTCAAATTCTCAATCTGGCTTATAGCCCCAAATTCTCTGTTGGTTTCATTTAAACACTACCAGCCTTGTTTAGTTTTCAAATTCAGATAAGCCAAGCAAGTGGTGAAATTTATTTCTGAGCCATAACCATTTTTTTGTAATGCAAGAATTACAGAAAGAAAAAGATAATTACCTTTTTCCTGTCCCATCCTCTTTAGTCTCTTTGTTAAATAGTATAGAAAGTTACCCTTCATGGCCTTCAATTGACACAGGTTATACAGTGGGGAACAAAAGCATCTTGAGTATAAGGAGAAGAATTGTGTTCATACCTTTCTTTCATCTTGTGATAGTTGGAGGATTTTAAAACTGATAACATACCTCACTCAAATTCTTATCCCTCCTTGCAAGAAATTTAATATAAGTTCAGCACCAAAAGGTCAGCAGTCCTTCTATTCTCTCAAGTTCAATTTCCTCTCCTCCCTCAATTGATACTTACAAGTAGACCTTGCTGTGCTGTTTTAGAGTTTGTGGGTATGGTTATGGGGAGGGGTTACATGGTGTTATGGTGAACTGTTGTCATCAAAAGACAATATGGATTACTTGGTTTGACTCTGGCTTCTGTGTTTTATAAATCATACTTCGTGATTTAGGAAGACGGCAAACAATCAGATCATATGGCAGTTCCCCATCTTACACCTTCAGAATCTGCAAACATCTGAACAATAGCCATGGGAACTGAGAATTCTGATTCTCCACACATCTGGAAGACACTATGGCGCATATGGAGAACAGTTGAATAAGACACAGGTGGTTAAAAGAATCAATATGAGATTCAGCTCATCCATCATAGTTCTAAATCAATTTTCTATTTAAGCCTTTTTCTTACATATATGTTCCGCTCAGCCTATTAAATTCTTACTCCCTGAAGAAACTGTCTCATATATACTTCCTAAACAGCTTGGGATTTCAGTGCAGTTTTGATAAGGAAATATCATAAAGTTCAATAAATGGGCTCAGAATTATTCCAAAATTACTCTATCTTGGTCGTCATTTCCACAACATATTAGGCCATGATTAACTAAATCAATATTTACTCAGTTTTCTGGCCTTATATAAGGCAGTAAACTGCAACATAAACAACCTCATGGACCCATCATGCAAGACGCGAGACTAAAATGTGGTTGGTTAGATGTGTTTCTGCATGTTATGCGAACATTGTCATACTAACCTGGCAGCATATCTGTTGTACATTCTGCATTAACTTCTGATATAAGAAAGTACATTCACCATTTGCTTTGTTGCAAACTCACTATTAGCTATTATTGACAAGCATTACGATGAAATGCAAGTTGATTCCAGCATTTCTCTAAAAGAGGTGAAATAAATAGGGACCTTCCTTTCTGCTTTTCAGAGACTGCCCCTTAAATTATGTTTAATTTTCATTATCTTCTAGGAAACGACGCATCCTGGTAGCCAATAGTTACTGTATATAGTTACGGTATCTCACCATCAGCAGTAATTGCCATCAGTTTCACAGGCGAGAGAGCGCGAATAGGCACCTGCCATAGTATATCGGTCAGATTCCTAACGCGCGCTGGCCATGGCAAGTGACACAACTTATGCCCGTCCACGCTCAACCCACACGCGGCAAACCGAATGCAAATCGTCAGGCTTCCGCGCGGTAAGCTCCCGGCACAGTAGCCCGGCGACCCGTTACCATATCAACCGTACACGAACGGGCCTTCCTTCATTACAAGCCTTCCCTCGATTCTTCGCTCCTTAGCTTAGTTATTGCGGGGAAAAACCTCGATCGAGAAAGCTACCAGAAACGAGCGGTCATCACGTACACAAATCAAGAGTTGCTTTCCTTCTACCGCCGTAGCCGGTGTAGCCCGAAAATTGGCCTTTTCCTTCATTAAATACTGCGCGAACTCAGAAAAGCTGAGCATGCCCAATAGCGTCGATTGAGGCCTTTGCCCTTCACCTATTGGTAACTAGAGAGCCGAGACTGAGCATGCTCAATAGCATTAAGTGAAGTCTATTGTACCCGTAGTTTGTCCTCTTTATTTTGTGGTTTTCCCCCCCCCGAATAAGGGCGAATACTAGATATTCACAAGATAAACAGTATTGTATATTCCTTATATAACTCTGTATCGTTACTTTAGTAGCACCATCTGGTCTCTAATTGGTTTTTTCCATAAAGGTTTATCTTTTAATTGCTATAACTGCGATCATAACAATATTGTAGCCAGTATTACACAGCCCAAACCTCAGCAGATTCGTTTATCCTAAATAAGAATCCGTAGCGTTCCCTTCTAATATTAATCACATCTAAAGCTGGATCATGCTAACCACTAGTTTGCAAAATAATTCAGTCGGCTGCGTTCTCATTTAACAAAAATGCTTTACCCTAAAACAAGTTTATTGGCTTGTAAATAAACATTATTTACATTAGGATTGTTTTCCCAAAAAAAATATCAGAATTTAAAGTTGATATACACTATTAAGTCCCTTTTATACATCAACCCATTAGTATTTCCTATCAGACATCAGTTATACAATATTAGTATTGAAATCAACAGTAAATGCAAATTACATAGGCTGGATTCAGGTTTATTCGTCTACCTAGACAACAGACACACTAAAACAGCGTTTCTCAACCTTGACTATTTTAAGGCATGTGGACTTCAACTCCCAGAATTCCACAGCCAGCAATGCTGGCTGTGGAATTCTGGGAGTTGAAGTCCACATGCCTTAAAATTGTCAAGGTTGAGAAACACTGCACTAAAATCAGCAAAATATAAATTATTCATGACTAACTTATCTCACTGGATTTCACCAGTCAACACAAAGCATTAAAATCTGGAATCAAGCCAAGTCTAATGTCACAAAGTGAACATTATTTTCTTTCCTTTTTAATAACTTCTCATATATATATTCATCCCTGTGTCTTTTCAATTAAAGAGATACCACGAAGGAAATTAAATACCATCTGCAATGAGCTTTTTTTTTTTTAATGCTCAATTTTGAAGCACTTTTTGGATTAGAAACCAAAAGTATTTTTTTTTTCAAAAGTCATTTTAAACATGAATGGACAATTCATTATTTTCTCTGGCATTCTCCCTAGAATCATTCCCTTACTTATCAGGTCCACAGACAAAACCTTAGGATCTAATCCCATGATGCTGCCAAAATAATGAACAGGAACCTTTTCCCTGTGATTATAATAACGTAACATTTAATTGAGCCACTTTTGTGTAAGAGTCACCAAGCTTTCTTGGCTCTTTCTCTAACCTCTTTCATAGGCACATTATTTCTCTTTTCCCCATTCTCTAAACTGTCAAACTCAAGAGTTAATTTTAACTTTTGTGCTTAGCTTTCCTTTATAATTTTCTCACTTAGCAGTCACAATTCCTTACATATACTGTTTAATTAAAAGGAAGTTCCAATCCTTTCCACCTCTCATCTGCAAATAAATAGGTAACTCCTTTGAATATCCTGATGGCTTCATGGACACATTTACATAGTTTTCCTGGCAATGATACAGAACTGATTTTCCATTGTTTTCTTCCAGGATATTTGATCCTTCATGTACTGTATTTAAAGGCAAGCTGTATAGAATTTTGTAGACAAAAAACAGTACTTTGGATTCAGAAACTGATTGCAGTTCAATATTCTCAAGTCTTTGTATAAAGGATTGAACAAAGCAAATGAGAACTTTGGGAACTAATCCATGAGAATTTCATTAAGGATTCTCACCCTAATTAGCAATGACATTTGTTTCTCTACCCCTGATGCTGTGTAACGAGAAAACGAAGTAATCAGCAAAGTAGTCCTCACTTAACAACAGTAACTAGGAGCAGAATTTCCATCATTAACTGAGCAAGTGGTAAAGCATGATATTAATAACCACATTGCTTAGGGATAGCAAACCTGGCCTTCCCTGTTGCCATCATTAAACAAGGACTGTGTATTGTTAAAGAAGACCCCAGGTGGCTCAAATGGAAGGCAGCAGGCAGGTATGTGGCTGCTGCTAGATGGGGAAGAGGCATGGTGGGTGGGGGAAAGTGCAAGGGCTACTGGAACTTTGAAGGCCATCCATAAGTACCACTCATTCAAGGACATTGTAACTTGAAATGATCACTGAAAGAGTGGTTATTAAACAAGGACTATCTGTAGATCTTATATTGCAGTATAGGTAGTCTTCACTAATTAGACTGGAAACTGCAATCCACTTCTAAGTAAAAAAAAAAAAAAGAAGAACCATGTCAACACACTGCAGTTGTGAACACATAGCAGTTCCAGCAGTTGCCATTATTGAGGACTACACAGGTCATTAAGCTTTTGACTTCCTGCTGACTTTCCCATTGACTTTGCTTGTCAGAAGCTGGCAAGGAAAATAGTGAATCACAATTGCATGACTATGGGATGCTGCGAGGATGTAAATATAAGTTGTACCTGCAACTTGTTCAGCATCATCATAAATTCAAATGGTTCCTGAATGGCTGATTGTTAAACAAGGACCACCTATAGTGGTTAGTATCCACAAGCATCTTTACTACTGCAGTTTAAACTAGTTTTAAGTTTCTGGGCTGTTTTCAAAAGCAGCCCCATTCATCTTGTAGTAATGAGAGTGTGAATTACAGTCACCAATGATGCATGGTCCAGGTAAACCTAAAATTGTTTCACCAATACAAGCTCCCCTGGTCACAGCCACCACCAAGTGTTTTTGTAATAATTAAACATGTAAGAAAGCCCTCTGGCTGTAAATCTGCTCCTTCAGAATGATTTCATTTGCAATAATTGCTGGGCACGCCAAAATGTTTCTGCAATCCTGCCTCGATCACAAAAGTTTAGCTTGTTTCTAACCATCTAAACCAGGCTGGGGGATTCTGGGGGTTGAAGCCCACAAATCTTAGTTGCCAAGTTTGGAGACTCCTGATCTAGACCTTCACAGCCTCCAGCCTTGAAGAGACCAGCTTAGAACTTCCACAGTATTTTCAGCTTGCTCTGAGGTAGATGTGGGATCATCAGCATTCTGCTGTGACCTCACCCAAAACTGACTTCTCTTAGCACAGTGGTTCTCAACCTGTGGGTCGGGACCCCATTTGGGGTCGAATGACCATTTCACGGGGGTCGCCAAACCACGCTGTCCGCCATTTTTTTCCCTTTTCCCTAGCTGTCCTACTCCCTCTTATTGGTGGCCACACCCACTTGGGGGTCATCACAACATGGGGAACTGTATTATGGGGTCATGGCATTAGAAAGGTTGAGACCCACACTGTCTTAGCAATTCATAAATAGCAGGAAGGGCAGAGACATGTCCTGCAGCACCCCATGGTGCAGTATATATTTAATGTTGAATGCACAATGCTTTCTGCAAAAGCTTCACTACTGGATTTCTCTTCAGCTTTCTTTGCTCCAGCAGTTTAAATTACAGGTAGGGAAGCCTTTTATCTTTTCTATTATTAAGCCTTTTCTATTATTAATATTAAGTCACCACACTATTCACTGTCAGAGTAAGCAACATTATGCAGAGCATAGAAAAAGAATAGGAAGTAATAAGCTTAAAGAAACGGAAGGCAGATGATAAAAGAACATTTAACTCAATTTTACAGACCAATTCTGGGGAAGGGATGTCCATAAAAACAGAATGCCTGTTTAATCCAAATTGTCATAATTAACATATGTAGATCACTTGCATCAACTTACATCATTTGCATGAATACTTAATTGACATAATTTACTTCATTTGTGTTTATATCATTTGCAAAATTTCAAACTTATACGCTTACACAAGTGATGCAAACTTATGCAAATTAAGTAATGATGAAAATTAAATCAGGATTGAGCCCTCATTTGTGGGATTACCCAGTGCTTTCACCCCTCCTGCTTAAAATAACTTCAAACCACAGGCTGAAGTCAACTATCAACTCAGAATCTGGTACTTGATCCTGTGCAACCTGAGCAATCCCGTCAGTAACTTGTTCTTGTATCTGGAAGTTGAGTCTGGAACAATCTCCCAGTCTTCAGCTCAATCCTGGCAAAACCAAATAGGGCGCTTTTTCTCCCTAATCTTGGGAACTGTTGGTCTTTAATTGTGGATGGGGTCACACTTCCCCATTTGAGATTAGTGCTCGATCTGGGGCTTTCTTGAACCTGCAGTTCCTGCTTAAAGAGCGAGTGGCAGTTATGGCCAAGAATGGTTTTGCAGAGATTCCCCTTATGCACCCATTACACTCATTCCTAGATTGAGAGACCTACCTCATTCATGGAGTATTGCAACATGCAATAGAGGTTACATGGGGTTGCTCTTGAAGACCACATAGATGCTGCAGCTGCTCCAGAATGTGCAGTAATAATGGGCATGATTCAGTTTGCTCATGTGACACCACTGCTCCATGATATTGCCAGTTGGCTGTTTGGGGGAATTCAAGGTTTTGGTTACTAACTATAAAGCCCCTCATGGCCCAAGGCAGGGGTATCAAACTCACAACATTATGTGACATGTCACGACGTATCACGGCTTTTTTGCCATTGCCGGCACTGGGGTGGCGCGGTTTCACTATGATGCATCCGGCCTGCAGGCTGGCAGTTTGACACCTGGCCTAATTCCTCCATCCGGATTACACAGACAAAGAAAGTAACTATATCATAGTGGGAAGGGAAGAAAAGACAAGCACTTGATGCAAAATATGTGCAATACATGCAGTATATTGATGAAACACAGATGGAACTCCAAACATTCAGACACAGCCTTCTATGCAGGCAACAAGATAGTCATATAAGATAGCAATGAATATGAATTTTAGCCATCCCTCTGTCCTGGTTAGTTCCAGTTCAAAAATTGACAATGAAAAGACATTTCCTTCCAAAATAAACAGCACGGATAGAATGCAAATACCACCAAACTGAAGCCATAATAGGAGAAAATTAAATCTACTCATCTGGT